CTTCATTTATCATTTCAAGGTTTATCACTTTTTCAAAACCAATATAATGCATTGCCTCAACCATGGAATGATGTATATCATATTCATTTATTCTTTTATTTATTTCTTATTTAAGATGATGCAGATAAATTCTATGAAATAGTTGAGAAATTAAATAGAGAAAATGGTGAACAGGTATTAACAGATCAACTAAATAAACATTGGATAAGACTATTTGCTAAAACATGTACTGGTGATTTATGTCCAATTCAATCTATTATTGGTGGTATTGCTGCTCAAGAAGCAATCAAAGTAAGAAGAATTTCATTCATTCATTCATGTTTTGTTTTGTTTTTGTCAGGCAGTGACAGGAAAATTTATGCCAATTCGGCAATTACAAGATCAAATTTCCCATAAAACAAAGTCGATATTATTCTTAAGAAATTGTTTTTGGTGAAGATTTTCAAGATAAACTAGGCAATGCTAAATACTTTCTGGTAAGAAATGAAGAAAGAATGATGAGAAAAAAATATATTAAAATAACCGAATTAATTATAGATTGGTTCAGGTGCAATTGGTTGTGAAATATTGATAAATTTTGCTATAATGGGCATTGGATGCGGAAGAGATGGTACAGTATTTGTATCCGATATGGATTCAATCAAGATATCGGATTTACATCGACAATTTCTACTTTGTTCTCGGAATATTGGTGTAAGTTTTTTTTTATCTGCTCGCAAATAATAACTGAGGTGAGAAGTTTTATTGATCTCTGCAGAAAATGAAATCAATAGTAGCAGCTCAATCAATAAAAGTAATCAATCCCAATATGCATGTTCATGCATATGTAGATGGGGTTTTACCAGAAACAGAACATATATATAATGATCATTTTTTTCAACAATTGGATGGTCTTGTCATTGCAGTTGACAACGTCAAAACTCGTAAGTATTTTGATAACATTCGAATCACTGATATAGATTAAAATTCTTGTCATCTATATCTGATAAAGAAGTATTTGATATGCAACTTAAATGAGTACAGTTCAGGACACCTTTTTTAAGTATGAATAAGGTTTTCGAAGAGATTTGATCAAGTTTAAATATTCTTAATTATCTGTTCGACTTAAGACAGGGTTTATACAGCAGAACACCTTGCATATTGTAATTTTCAAGAATCCATAAAAGGCTAAAAAAATCTGTGCTGAGCCCAAAGATGGTACTTCAAATCGATATTTCTTAGCCTCTTTCTTATCAATAAAAACTTTGAACTTCCTTCTACCATCGATTGAAAAATCAGTCCATTTGATTTAAATAGAGTGGATATATGCAAATTTTTTATCGTAAAGTTATTTATGACCCATTCTATATGAATATTTAAAAAGCTAAATAACGTTGAGCAAGAGAGAAATACGTTTAAAAGAAATTTATCTGATTCTTTTACACATCACTGAAAATGGAAAAGTTATTTCTTATTACTTTCAGTTAGATTGATTTGACTCAGCTAAGTCAGTATGAGCAGACAACAATGATAATATAAGCATAGTAAGAGAGAGTGAGACTATTACAATGATCCGCTTGTCAATGTAGCATAATTCAAGAACATCTCTTCTCGGAGAATTGAGTTTCATCAGCTACTTTCTTATCATCTCTTTATCTTTATCCAGAATTCTTTATTTCTTACTGAATCATATTCATCTACCAATGATCCAGCCGATCCAACAGTAGATCTGAGTACTGCAATAAATTTTCCAATTTCTATTAATCATATTATTCAATGGGTACTCTATACTTTTTCTGACCTATTTACAATTTCTGCTCAACAAGCTGAAGAATTTGTGCGTGATCCCAAAGGTTTCGCTGAACAAACAGCTAAAAAGCCATCTGAATATGAAAAAAAATGAAATTGTTGAAAATGTTAAACGTATTCTTGTTAAACATCGTCCAGGAAATTTTACCGATTGTATCAAATGGGTAAGTTTATATCGTTTACCATAGAAACGAATGTTTATCTTTTTTTTATTCATTTAGTCTTGAAATCTCTTCGAACAACAATTTCATAATGCAATTGTTCAGTTACTTCATAATTTCCCACGTGGTCGTGTGATAGATAATGGTAAATTTTTTTGGAGTGGAAATAGACGATGTCCACATCTATTGAAATTTGATATTAACAATAAACTTCATTTGGATTTCATTATTGCTGCGTCCAATTTATTTGCACATATGTATAATATCCCGCAAACATGTGATCGTCAATTTATTGCACAAGAAGTAGTAAAAGTACAAGTGCCTGAATTTAAACCAAAGGATATTTTTACAGCAGATAATAATAGTAACCAATGTAGAGTTGATGATCAGCAACGAATGAATGTTCAAGAGAAAAACAATTCGTCAATTGAACAACTTCTTAATCGATTGCCTAAACTTGATGAAATAGTTGACATTAAGATTCAACCACATGAATTAAAAACAGATGATGATACGAATTTTCATATAGATTATATAGTAGCAACAACTCTTTTACGAACTGAAAACTATGAAATACAAATAACTGATCGAAGTCAAATCAAAAGAGTTGCTGAAAATATAATTCCAGCTATTGTAACAACAACAGCAATGGTTACAGGTCTTGTTTGTCTTGAAGTTTATAAATTAATTCAAGGTCATAAGAAGATTGAATCATATCGAAATGCATGCCTTAATTTGGCTTTGCCATTCTTTGCATTTTTTGAACCGGTACCATCAAAATGTCAAAAGGTATAGAATATTAGACAATCACTTTTGAATAACTATAAATTCTTCTCATTTAATTATAGTATTTAGACAAGGAATTCACTTTATGGGATAGATTTGAAGTGAAAGGTGATATGACATTGGAAGAATTTATAGAATACTTTAAGGTAAAGAAAAATCAATCTGATTTAGGATTAATTTTTGTTTAACTTTGAATTGTGGAATATAGTGTGAGCATAAACTAGTACCAAACATAATTGCAGAAGGATCGTCTATGATTTATTGTGCACATTTTATACATCAAACGAGTAAAATACAAAATATGAAACAAAAGTATGTATTTACTTGGATTGTGGATTGACAAAAAGCAAATTAATTTCTTTTCATTTTTAAGAATTTCTCATATATATGAAACGGTGAGCAAAAGAAGGATACCACCACATGTTCGTTATCTTATATTAGATATGTACTGTGATGACCTTGAAGGAAATGAAGTTCAAGATGTTCCTTATGTCAAGTATACATTTGCATGAACATATTATTGTAAAATATTTGAAATAATAAAAGAGAGTGGAAAATTATATACGTCATAAAGTTTGACATAGAAATACAAGAACTAATTGAATGACAGACAGATAGATGTGTTATTTCCTAAGGTATTTATTAAGGAGAATGGATAAATCGAAATACTAATGGATATCAGCATGATCAAAAGAAAGTTGAAAAATGAAAAAAATATATTGCATTTTATCAAGTGTTCTTCAATGTTGCAATAAGCCATTAGAACGAAAAAAAAATTTCTCATCGTTTGTTGTCCTGTTTCAAATCTGTAACGGATGAAACATACCCATACTAAAAGTAACTAGCTTCTTTCTATTATGAACAAATTGTTAGTTCAAATATTCATATCGATCAATTGATCATCGTGAAAAAGAAATTAACGTGAGTTCAATGATTACAAGATAGCGCTCATTCTACGGATTCGCTAACCATTTTCTCAACGAAAATATTGCACATTTCTGCAGAATTTTTCGATAACAGCATTTTCAATCTAGTTTATATATCAGATATATGTGCGAATAAATGTTGAGTTTATTTTCGTATCAACCTGAATGAAGATAAGATTACCATTCACTCATATTCTCTCTACGCTTCTGATCTAGGATGTGGGTGTAGGTAAATAGACACATACCCATACTCACACCTATACCCACCCGCACCCACATCCATCCTATACAATAGATAAACGAGAAACGCTTCGCACTACATAGTTGTTTCTTAATATTTTCTGATAATCCTCAAACGAACATTTTGTGACACTCACTCTCAAGATTATAGCTACGAAAAGTGCAGAGTTTAAATGTAAATACTCGAAAAGAAAGTCCGTGTTAATCAAATTTCATGGAAATAGCGAACTCCTTCGGTGTAATTAGCGTCTGCTGATGATGGTCATCATTGTTCCCAGATTCATCAATGAAAGTAACGAATAATTATTACTTTTAATTCTAATCTAGCTAAATCTTGTCCAACACAAGCTCGATGTCCACCGCCAAACGGAGTGAACACGAACGGATTATGATTGACATCGGGCGCATCAACACCAAAAAACCTCTGTGGAATAAATTGAGTTGGATCTAATTTCCAATATCTTGGATCACGTTGCATTAAACTGAATGCTGATACAACTGTATCTCCTTTACGAATTTTAATTCCATCAATAATAGTATCAACGAGAAGTGTTCGAGGCGAAACAAACGAAGTTGTTGCCAATCGTAAAGTTTCTTTCAACACACAGTCAATATATTGGCATCGATCCAATAGATCGAAATTATTCAGAGATGTTTCTTTTGTAATACCTTGTTGCTTCAATTCTTCTTTCATTTTTTGTTGAACTTCAGATTTTTTACTTACAAAATGAATAAACCATGCTAGAATAGTTGACGATGTTTCATAACCACCTAGAATCAATCCTAATACTTCACCTAATAATTCTTTTTTCGTAATTCCTATCTGTTCTGTTTCAGGTTTTCTTTTTTCAGATGCTTCGTCCTTTTGTAATGATGATACTAATGATGCAACAAGATTTACTGGTCTATTATTTGGATCCATTTCTTCTTGACATTTTCGAATCATGTTTTCTGCATTAGTTTTCAGCGTTTTCAAAGCATTTTGATATTTCTTATCAATCTTCAATAGAAAATCATTGACAAAACTTGACATGCCATTGGTTGCAACACGTGTTAATGCGTCTAACCAAATTGATAATGCGACACCTAGCTCCGATGGTTGAATTTTGTCTTCTGAATTGCTTTGTTTCGCAAGTTTTGATAGATGCTTTAAATTACCCAGATCATAATCAAATGTTAAGCGCGTAAATGTATCCAACATTAATTGTTGATTACCAGTCAATATACATGTGCATATGGGATTATTTTGATTCTCATATCTATCTTTCCAAATATGAATCAACTGATCAACATAATTGATGATAATCGAAATTTGTGATTTAAATCTATGTTTTCTTAACATTGGCACAATTGCTTTTGCATGTCGTTTGTATTTCGAACCAACAAGTGTGATCAAAAAATCTTCTGCTATTAAACCAAATGTTTTTGTACGTACATCGGCACGATCGAATATATGACGATCGGAATAAATTTTCTCAGCGTGTTCAGAACGACAAAATACATAATAGTGATTTGAACCTATCCAAATTTGAAATATGTCTCCGTATTGCTTTTGCATTTTTTTAAAACCATGAACATATGAATTAATCGCTTGCCTGTTCAATGTCATAATGCCCACCCAGGGCGAAACTACCCAACAGGATCCTGTCGGGTCCCTGAATAATCCGACGCCATCCGACAGCCGGATCCGGTCGGATGCCGAGTGTCGGAATCCTCGTTATATCTCTTGATTTCCGACGTTTTCCGATAGTCAGATTCTCCAGGATTCCGATGGTAGGATCCACTACTTTCCGATAGCTG